TGCTTGATAGACTCTCCCAGAACGAGTTAAATGATCTATCTCGTTTGGGTTAGTTGTAGAACTCACAAACCAACTTTCTTCTAGAGGCTTTGGATATGCCTCCATTTCAAGATGTTCCATGAGTTGTGCTTGAGCCATTGTTCATCCAAGGAGAGATTCAATAAGTCTTGCGACTTCCCCAAGAAATGATCTCAATCAAGCGCTCCATTTGTTTCATTTTGTAAACAAGATGGAGGTGGGACGGCGACATACTTAGAGACATATAAGTCTTGAAAGTCGTCGTCCCATAATCCACACACTTCATTAGTTGCCCATATGAGTATTGTGGATAGAGGTTCTCCTATAAGTGTGATATAGTTCAAAGGATTGAATGTATCACTTCTCATATGGTCCTCATCGATGTGAAACACCCCTAAGGGGGGTGCATTATTGTTAGGTTTAGGCGTGGGAATTCTCCCATCGTCTACTAAATCTTGTATTTTGTGCTTTAAAACATAGCAACATTCAGTATCATGTCCAACGCCTCTATGATAAGCACAATAAGCACTACCATTCCATTGAGGAAATCTTCTTTCTGGTGGAGTGGGTGGTGTTGGCTTTGTTAGCGCAAGTAAGCCTTTTTCATTTAATTTTTCTAACAATTCTCTATACCTTACAAGAAATGGAGTAAACTTTCTTTCTTTTGTCCATCTTTTTCTAGGATTATCATATCTATTTGTGTTATTGTATTGTTTGGAAGTCGCAAATACTTCAATAAAGGATGATGCATTATCATTCTCATTCTTGTAGTTATTCTTAGGTTGATGATGATGATGAGGTTTGTTCGCTTTTTATTTAGCAAGATCATCTTCAATCCTAGTAGCCACAGAATAGACCTTTTGAAAAGTGTCTAGACCAAGGTAATGTAGATGTTTGTTGTACTTTTCATGACAGTTGTCCATGAATTTTTGTACTAACTCGAGTTCAGGAGACCTTTGGGCAAGGTGGGCCGCCTTTTCTCGCCATCTTCCATAGAAAGCAAAAAAACCTTCATCGTCGCCTTGCTTAAGCATCTCGAGTTTAGGTAAAGTTGACTTAAACTCTATGTTACTCGCATATTGTGTGATGAAAGACGAAACTACATCTTCCCATGTTGCCTTGAATTTCGGATCTAGCCCATAGTACCACTCTCTCGCGGTTGGGTCTAGTGATAAAGGGAAAGTCAAAGCGTAAAGCTTAGGATCAACTCCCTTTAATGCCATAGTGCCAGTAAAACACATTAAATGATTTTGTGGATTATTGGTCACCTTAAATATTGGCAAGTCCATAGCTATGAACTATTCCTTAAAGCAAGTCCTGGGGGAGGAGCAAACTTTTCTGCATCAAAGTACTTGTTCCACATTGTAGAATAAAGAACTAGCTTCTCCAACGACTTTTCTTTGATGGATAATTGTTCCATCTTTGCTTGTAAGGCTAAAGTTTCAACTTTTTCCTTTTCAGCATTTTCTATTTTCTTAATTCTTCTTTCCTCGGTTTCTTGAGCCTTTTCCTCTCTCAAACGAAGAATCTCTTGTTGAAGTTCTCGATGGTTGGCATTGTTGTTGGACTAGGATTAGTTGTCGAAGAAAAGTGGTTTGAAAGGGGTTGATCTTTGGGTGGTAAACGTAGAATGCGAGTGCCCGAGGGTCCTCTTTCCCAAGCTTGAAAACCGGCCCTAAAGGAGTATGAAAGGATAAGTAAATTGATACGCTTGTTTAAAAAGGAAAAAAAAAAGAAAAAGACGCAAAATATATTCAAATGGATAACATCGCCGTTAACAATTCTTCAATGAACATATTGTTCAGACAAGTCAATTTGTTTTTTGAGAAATCAAAATTGATTTGTCCAGTGGGCGCGCTCAAGTGACTCAGTTGCGCGCGGCTGTCGCGCGCAACGAAATCACTTGCGCTGGGAGGGGTCGCACAACTCATTGAGTTGCGCGCGCCACCTGCTCGTAGAATTTTTTTAATTTGAGCGTTATTTTTTTTGTCATCGTTTTTTTTATTCGATTTTTTTTTACTCTTTTCTTTTTTGCTATCCTTTGAATATGATGCTAAATCACGAAGAGACAACTTAGTAATTAGGAACCTAGGCCAAACTAAAAAGAGAAAAAAGAAGACTATCCTAACACGTTGCACATAGTCACATAATCACATAAGCATGCCATAAGTCAAGATTCACGCAATGTCGTTCTAAGGTCAAAAAGGCTTGGGTGTCCAAAGGTACCATATCTGAAGAAATGACGCACAAATCAATCACTCAACGTGCTGACTCATGACATCGTCCTCCCAACTTTTTGTTGGTGATATTGGTGGGATGATTGTTATTGATTTCGAGATAGAAGCCTAGTGTTGGCAACCCCTAGTCAATGAGTCAATCCCCAATGGTTTAAGTGTGCTATGCTTATGCATAATGCAATGTTGCTTGTTTGGTTTTTACTCATGTGCAAAAGAAAGATATTATGAATTCAAGTCTCGCTCTCTAACTAGAAATTATCCAAGTTAATTCTCGTTACAACCCATAGGCAATTAACCTAGTGTTTGAAATTTTGAACCATAACTACGAATTAATCATGTAACCTCTAAGTCCCCAGTGGAGTCGCCACTGTAAGGATGGTGATCCCATCGTAAGGGGTACTCTCCTTAAATGGCCATGGCCACTTAAAAGCCTAAGACTTTACACTTGTTAGGGTGTAGTAGGATTTGAATTCCTGACTGTTTGGGGGACCTTGAATTAGAATTCATTCTATCATTAAGCCTTTTTGTAAGAAACAAGTAGGAATCGCCAATGAGTTTTAGGAAAAACTCATAAACCTCGCTCATGCCTTTCTTCCATGTGGAATTCATGGAATAATTAGCACGAATCATAAGTTTACCCATGCCCAAATTGGTCTATAAACCAGATATGAGTTCGGGAGCGAGGGTAGTAAAATAATATTCCTTTTAGAGAGGAATCGTTATCCTAGCTCTAGTGCGGCCTCTACTAGCTCTTCCTTTTTTACAATTTCATCACCAAACAATATATGCAACGCGATACCTAAAACTATGTCAGTTGATTTTATTTACAAGCATTAATTCATGTAGGAATTACATCGTAATGTCGTTATTCTTATTTAATCAAATTCGTGAAAAGGACAAGAAAATAAACAATATTCGTCTTGGCTTAAGTGATCAGCCAACAATTATTTAATTCAATTTTAATCTTTATTTAACGCAAGATATTATGTGGAATTGATTAACTAATTATTTTAAAGGTGATCAAACAACACTAATTAATTAATTAAAGTCCTTTTAAACAAAAAAATAAATGTGATTTAACTAAGTGCTCGGGAATTTACCACTTCTCTTTGCTAGATCTCCGTTTAGAACACTTATGGACTCCTACTTGTTGGGGAATCTCCACCGTTGTAACAAAGTATCAAAAGGGTGAGTGTTTAGGACAAGAGGGGCTAGGTTGCACAAGTTCACAAGTATTTCGCCAGAGTTTTAGGTTAATTTCTGTCCGTTTAAGCTTCCGTTTAAGCTTGTATTTATAGAAAATGATTAGTTTTAGGGTTTCGAGCATTCTGTCGCAGCAGGTGTCGCGCGCAACAGAGTGAGTTGCGCGCGGCATCCCAGCGCAAGTGATTGGGTTGCTCTGCTATGGGCAGCGCAACTAATTGTCTTGCGCGCAGCTTTATTATAAGATTTGATTTTATATTTTCTATATAATTCTGAATCTTCCGCAGCGCAACTCTGGGGGTTTCGCTGGGTGTCGCGCACAACTAAATTAGTTGCGCGAGGCAACCCATCGCGATTCTTTGAGATGTGCGCGACTTTTTCTGCGCCAGCACTAAGATTTAACCTAAGAGCTCCTAAATCCGTCATTATTAGATTTTAAGCACGGGCTTAAGCCTAATTATAATCGGGTTTTATTAATTGGACCTTTGTTTTGGCCTTTTCTTTAATTTGGGCTAGTGTTTTGTGTTTTGTGGCTTAACCAGTTATCCATAAGTATTCTTCACTTCGATCCAACACGAAGATGGTTTTATTTATCATCATTGCACTTTCTATCGGGACAGGAGGCCAAAAGTAGATGTCTACACCTACCATCTCCAATTCTCACTCCACACCCAACCATGGTCGCTCGTAGTAGAAACGATATCACCAAGCCTAATCGGAAATATCATAATTTCAATACCATGGTGTCCATGGTTACGAAATCCCCTCTTCCTCGTAACCCGGTTTCTGCTTTACGTGACCTGAATTGGAAAATGGCTATGGATGATGAATTTAATGCTCTTATTAATAATAAGATGTGGGAGTTGGTGCCCCGTCCACCTGATGTTAATGTTATTCATTCTATGTGGATTTTTACTCATAAGGTGAAATCTGACGTTCTTTTGAGAGGCATAAAGCCCGTCTTGTAGGTGATGGCAAAACACAAAAGGTTGGCATTGATTGTGGGGAGAATTTTATTCCGGTGGTCAAACCAGCTACATCCATACTGTGCTTAGCTTAGCATTGTCCAAAGCTTGGCAAATTCATCAGCTTGATGTTAAGAATGCATTTTTGCATGGTGAGCTTAATGAGACTGTCTATATGCATCAACCTCTTGGTTTTTGTTATAAGACTCATCTTGATTATGTATGTTTGCTGCAGAAATCATTATATGGTCTGAAACAGACACCCAGGGCTTGGTATAAGCGATTTGCTAATTTTGTTACTTCTATTGGTTTAACTAATAGCAAGAGTGACAATTCTCTCTTTATTTACCGAAATGGCTCAAATGTGGCTTATTTGTTGCTATATGTTGATGACATTATTCTTACAGCTTCCTCTAATTCTCTAAGGTGTTCTATTATTGCTCTTCTTAGCAAGGAATTTGCTATGAAGGATTTAGGTCTTCTAAATTATTTTCTTGGCATTTCTGTGACAAGGCATAAGGGTGGATAATTTTTGTCATAACATAAGCATGCTGAAGAGATTATTGACAGGTTCGGGATGAGTTCGTGCAAGTCTTCGGCCAATCCTGTTGAGGCTAAGCCGAAAGTAAGTGCTTCGGGCTCTCCTTTTGCAGATCCCACCTTATATCGTAGCCTTGCTGGGGAGCTACAGTATCTTACTTTTACAAGGCCGGATATTTCATATGTTGTGCAACAGGTATGCTTACATATCCATGATCCAAAAGAAACTCATATGGCTGATCTAAAACGCATCATTCGGTATGTGCAAGGTACTCTTGACCATGGTTTGCATCTTTATCCATCATCTATTTCTACACTTGTATCATATACAGATGCTGACTGGGGTGGGTGTCCCGATATGAGACGTTCCACATCTTGATATTGTGTGTTTTTGGGTGATAATTTGATATCTTGGTCATCTGGATGACAAGCTACTCTCTTCAAGTCTAGTTGTGAAATAGAGTACAGAGGTGTGGCCAATGTGGTTTTGGAGTCGTGTTGGCTTCGTAATTTGTTATTGGAGTAACATTGCCCGATTAAAAAGGCAACCTTGATTTATTGTGATAATGTGAGTGTTATTTATCTTTCGGGTAATCCAGTGCAACATCAGCGTACCAAGCATATTGAGATGGACATTCTTTTCGTTCGTGAAAAGGTGGCTAGAGGTAAAGTGCGAGTCCTCCATGTTCCATCTAGGCACCAAGTTGCGGACATCTTTACAAAAGGACTACCCCGGGTGTTATTTGAAGATTTCAGAGATACTCTAAGTGTCCGTCCTCCTCCTGCTTTGACTAAAGGGGTGTGTTAAGATATATATATATATATATATATATTTATCATATATATCTTTGACCTTGTAAATATATAGTTTCCTAGATTAGTGCTTAGAATATTTTGTATATAGTTTTTCCCTAGTTTATAGCATTAATTAGTGGCTTAACTTAAGCCCTTGGATATTGTATATATTGACAGTGAATGCAAAGAAATACTCACGGATTAAATTCCTTCACACGCCTTACTACAATTTTGTTCTCATCCTAGTATCTTAGTTTTGATCAATCATTCTTAATTTTAGGGGAGCCCCAGTTTCTCTTCTACAGAAAAATGTAAATAAAAGCAACTTTATCAATATTTTATTTATTTTTTGGTGCTGACTCACCCCTCTCTCTCCTTCCCTTCTTTCTCCTACCTCCTTCTTCTAGCTTCCCATGGCTTCTCAACGTAACAATGGTGGAGTCTTTACCAAGATTTTAGACCACAACCCAATATCACGGCTAGACCAACCCCAACCCACTTTTTCGGCAGCCATTTCCGACGGTTTCCGGCGGGGCAAAGCTGCCGAATTCTACAAAAACCTTAAGAAAAAGTGGAGAAATAAAGGACATTGTTAACACTATATGGAAGGTGTTTATCATTTTTTAATTTAACCTCAAAAGTTGTTAAATTGGGGGTTTATGGTGGGTAGAAGTGGTAGGAAGCCATGAAAATGGCTTAGTTTGAAGGTGGTGGAGTTGTATAAGAAGAAATTGATGATATAGGGAGAAGAGGAGAGAGAAAGAATTTTTATGATATTATTACCAAAATGAATATAATACTACTATACTTCTAATTACAGGAATGTATTTATACTAATCTTACCAAACTATGTATTAACTAACTACTTAAGCTAATACTCTAACTGTATACTCCAACAGCCCCCCTCAAACTGGAATGGATGAAACAACCATGACAGTTTGAAATAGAGCTACGTAAAGAGGAGTTATGATGCTGAGTTATGCTATCAGATCAACCAAACATAAGCTACCAATGTAGGACCATGAATTGCTGAAGTGGACCAACTGAACTTGTTGAACTTAAAAACAACACCAACATCACCACCAATCATGAAACTTGGCGCAATAAACTCTAACTTGCATAAAAATCCTTCTGAAATATAGTCCGAAACCATTCTCAAGAATGTGCCTTCTTCCATATCTAGCACACCCAACTTTCAAATTACAACCACCAAACCAAAAAATCCTTTACCAAACTTGGAATCCACCAATACCCAACTCCTTGATCACCAATCAAGCCATAGAATCTGATAGCACTAATGATACCAAACCAAATCCATCAACCAAACATTATGTAACGATGAACTCATCACCAACCTTATGATCATCACACCATATTCCCCTCCTCAAGCTTTGAAGGGTAGAAAACTATTCAACGCAAGATGCATAGGCAACCAAACCACCAATATATGCCATAACACCAAATTTAACAATCAAACCAAGAGAATGAATGTGGAAGAGAACATGTTTAGAAGATGAAAAAGAGAATAAAATCATCACAAAAGATCTGAAGAATTGACCTCTTTGGGTCGGAAATTGACCACTTGGGTTTTAAAGAAATGAGCCTCAATGGGTCTCACCAAAACTGATTACAAAGGATCACAAAACTGACCTTTATGGGTCTTGAAAATGACCATCTATTGGTTCTGAAAAAACTGATCACAATTGATCATCAAAGAAAGGCCTCTTTGGGCACTGACTAACTATGGGTCTCAAAATTTAAAGCCTGTATAGGAAAAATCAACAAGCCACCATGGGTAATCAACAATAAGAGGGAATTATCAGAAAAAATATCAAGATAAAGAGAAACTAATCTCATAAGAGAAAGAAATTTCAAGAAGAAAATAATCTTGGAGCAAATTCAGTGAAACAATCAGGGAAAATATCAGGAAAACTTCAACACACCATCATTGCCAACAAACAACTACAAACTGATCCAATACATAATACCTCCATTAACATCCAACAATATTGAACAACACCCAACAATCAATAATCACTCAGACAACAATAATCATCAACTACAATCCCAATTAACAATCAACCAAATGTATGCACCAAAATTAGTAAAATAAGCCTCAACTAACTATCACCTTCAACAAACTCCAACAATCATTAATCAACCACATTCAAAATTCCCAAAACATTAAACTCAATCAGGCAGCCACAATACCATAATGCAACATGAGCAATCCACACCAAGCAAGAATCAAGAACAAGAGTATTATACTAAAATTCGTTAGAAATTATACCCAGAACATGAAACCCATGAAAATACTCGATAATTTTCAAGAAACATCGAACTAGTCTCCAATTAGATGTCGAAGAACACAGAGCCGCAATCGAAACAATCGTGAAACATCGACCATAAAAGAAATTACTACCCAGAAATTATAATCAAGCAATTTCTCTCGAACTTCAAATACTAAGAAACTTCAACCCAGAAAATCAGAGTACGCTTTAGTGCTTCAAATGAGTTGAGGTAGCCCCAATTCGTATTATTGAAACCCAAAACAAACGAACGAAGACAATCAATTTCGCTAAAGAAATCGAAGAACCCTAGAATTTGGGGAAAAAATCAAGAAACTAACAATTGATTGATTCTTGGTTAGAAAAACGAATTGTGAGTGAAAATAGGAGAAAAATGGGCAAATTAAAAGCTCAAATTACCCAATTTCGAGCCCTATGTGAACAAAATTCGAACATAAAATTTTTGGAAAAAATAAATTGGGGATTTTTAATTGAACAAAAGTGTGCGAAATATGGAGCTAGGATCGTTCCCGCTTTGATACCATGGTAAATTTGGGGTTTATGGTGGGTAGAAGTGGTAGGAAGCCATGAAAATGGCTTAGCTTGAAGGTGGTGGAGTTGTATCAGAAGAAATTGATGATATGGGGAGAAGAGGAGAGAGAGAGTGTTTGTGATATTATTACCAAAGTGAATATAATACTACTATACTTCTAATTACAAGAATGTATTTATACTAATCTTACCAAACTATTTATTAACTAACTACTTAAGCTCATACTCCAACTGTATACTCAAACAAAAGTTGCTTCGATGGTGGAGTGAGAGGTGGTTTAATGGAGGAGAGAAGCTGGTTGAATTGATCAACCACAAAGTACAGTAAATTGTGCAAAAGAAAAATAGAAAATTACATTTTTATTCTAGTTTTATTAGTTAAAAAGACAAATTTAATCCTATGAGATACATTCTATGTTTATCAATAAGATAAACAGGGAATTACCCCTTTTTTATTATTGGCTATTCTTTCATGATGATTACCATTGTAAGCGGCATAAAAACCCATGACTGCGGCAACTTTGGCAGAGTGATGGCAAGGTAATTATTTCTTCAATTTTCCGATTCATCAAAAGTTATAATTTTTTTTGCTACTTAATTGGGCTATTAAATCTGATTCATCATTGATTTATTGGCAAATTAAATTGGTTTATTGAATTTTAAACATTTTTTAATTTAAGCATAAGCTTTTCTTGTTTAATTTGGTCATAAGATAAAAAGTTGGAAGATTTTAGTGTCAGATTGTGAAATGTGATTCTAAAACACTCATAATAATATGTAGTAGGTTGGTGATATCATCGGCAGATTTGAGAAGAAGGGTTTCTTTTGAAACTCTTTAAAAAGGTGTTTTGGGAATTGGACCTTCGGACAGGTTCTAATATGTGGGTTGTAGACTGATCTCGGTCCGAGTGATGACAGGGTTAAGGGTTTTTTGCACAACAAACACTGGTAACTGTCTTCGGGGGTTATGTCGAGGAAGGCCCCTTCTATTCCGAAGTTAGTATAGTGTTTTTATAAAGAGAAAGATATGCAAAAGAATTTATTGCTTGGGGTTTAATGTGAATGAACGAAGAGAAAGAAGAATGAAGGCTTTTATACCTTTCTTATATAGACAAATGGGCCTTGAGTTCAAATGGGTTTGCCATGTGATTTGGCCTTTACTGACTTGACAATAGTTGGATAGTTGAACTTTACTTTGACCTTGTAATTAAAGCATTTATGGACTGACTCAATTGGACCCAAAAAAAAAAAGTATGATCTTAATTTCACAAGTTTCTAATAAGTTGTATGATCTACACTGTAACATAGTAGTATGTAACATAGTATGATCTTAATTTCACAAGTTTCTAATAAAGTAAAATGCATGACTAGTAATTAGTTGACCACGGAGCAGTACGTCTATATGTGCTTCTCTGCCTAGATGATCCCTTCATTCTCTTCCAAACTTGAGATTTAGTGTTTAAGATTGGGGTCTTGGTGAAGACAACCACTTGTACAAAATAGTCTGTCCCTGATTGAATGTCCAATATAGTCTGTCAAAGACTGTCCACTTGTAACTGATGATTTGTATCTGACACTTTGATGTCGGGTGGTGAATGTTCCCTCTTTCATGCTGAGGGTTGACTCTCCGAAGAGGCGAAGAACACTGACTTATCGTTGATTCCAGCACAGGAGTATTATCGAAGGAGAGAGCAACTAGCAAGGGTGATAGGTAATGGGCTATGCATGTAGAGTTGGGCTTTTATATGAGATCCATTTTTTGTGGGTGCGATTTGCAACCCTTAGACTTCTCTAGCAAAAAGTTTCATATATGACTGGTCACGCTGTGTACCCACCAGCCGTAATATTTTATTATTTTTGTAATTCCTCTTCTCTCTTCACTTTCTCTCTTGTTTCACTCTCCTCCTTTCTTCTTCTCCAGTTAGCCCACATATTACCAATCTCAACCCCCAAAATTCTCTATTTCTCTCTCTTCTAATGTCTTTCGATTCATGGCCGCCCAATTTAAGCATCGCGCTATCGACAGCCACACCTCCTCCGCTCTCCGCTGTCAATTCTCCACCGGAGCAACGCAGAAGATGAAGGTGAATATGTAAAGGTCGATGGAGTTGAATACGCGGCAAGGATGAGGCGAAATCACCATTTATAATTTAATGCAGATTGAAGCTCGTAG